TTCCACTGCTAAACACTGAGGCAAAGTAGGCGTTGAGCACCTCAGCCTTTTCCTCATCCTTAGTTACCATGTTTCCCTCTGCATCCAGTAAAGGAGGGAGATTTTCCTTAATCCTCCTTTTGCTGTTAATGAATTTATAGAAACATGTTTTGTTATTCTTGAACAGCTGTAGCCAGGTTGAGCTCTAGTTGCGCTTTGGCTCTCCTGATGTTCTCCCTGCATAACTTCATCTTTATAGTCTTCATGAGAGACCTGCTTCCTCTTCCAAAGGGAACAGATTCTCCTTTAGTTCTTGAGATCCAGCCCAAGGTCCCTGTTTAGCCAGGCCGGTCTCCTTCCCCTCCTGCTTGTTTCCCGGCACACGGGCACAGCCTGCTCCTGTGCCTTCCAGACTTCTCTCCTGAAGTATGTCCGGCCTTCCTGGACTCCCATATCCTTCAGGGCAGCCTCCCAAGGGATTTTGTTCGTCTTTTGAACAGGTCAGAGTTTGCCCTCTGGAAGTCTAAGGTGGCAGTTTTACTAACCCCTCTCTTTGTTCCCCCAAGGATCGAAAGCTCAGTCATCTCATGGTCACTGCACCCTGGACGGCCGCTGGCCTTTACCTCCCCCCAAGCTCTTCCCTGTTCACAAGCAGCAGGTCCAGGAGGCACCTTCCCTGCCGGCTCACCCACCAGCTGGGTGAGGAAGTTACCCTCCACACGTTCCAGGAACCTCCTGGACTGTTCCCTCTCTGCTCTGCTGTGATCCCAGCAGATACCCATGAGGCTAAAGTCCCCCACAAGAATGACAGCAAGTGACCGCAAGATTTCCCCCACCTGTTTATAGAAAGCTTCATCCACCTCACTGCTTTGGTTGGGGGGTCTGTAGCAGACTCCCACAGCAAGAACTGCTTTACTGGCCCTTAACCTAACCCACACACTCTCGACCCTGTATCAGTCACTGTACTTGATTTCTGAGCTCTCATAGCATTCTCTAACACACAGGGGCACTCCACCACCTCTCCTTCCCTTTCTGTCCCTCCTGAAGAGCTTGCAGCCATCGACTGCAGCACTCCAGCTGTGTGAGGCATCCCACCACGTTTCTGTGATAGCTATGTCATAGTTCTCCTGCTGCATCATGGCCTCAAGCTCCCCCTGTGTGTTGCTCACACTGTGTGCACTGGTAGAGATGCACTTGAGATGAGCTCATGAATCCAGCACCTTTTTGTGAGTGTGGGCCCCGTTCCCTACCAAACCCTTCTCAGGTGTTTCCAGGTTCCTAAACGTCTATACCTTCTCTCAAATGAAGTGGCAGAGGGAGAGCCCTCACCAGTCCACCATCCTTCAAGCCACGGCATGCTTCCCTTGAGCTTATTCCTCACAGGCCCAGTTATCTCCCTGTCCCCCATCATATCTAGTTTAAAGCCCTGTCAATAAGCCCTGCTAACTCCTGCCACAGAATCCTTTTCCCCCTCTGGGACAGCTGCATCCCACCTGTCGCATTTGTTGCCAGTGGACCAGGTGCCTTATAAACTTTGCCATGATCAAAGAACCCAAAATTATGATGGTGGCACCAGTCTCTGAGCCATGTGCTAACCAGATGTGTTTTCCACCCTCTTTCAGTGTTTTTCCTTTCCACTTGAGGGATTGATGAAAACACCACCTGAGCTCCCGAGCCTTCAACTAGCCACCCCAGTCCCTTGAAGTCCTTTTTGAGTGACTTTAGACTTCTCTCTACCACCTCATAGTTACTGGCCTGGTAACCCAACAAAGGGTAGTAATCAGAGGGCTGCACCAGAGCAGTGACCTTCCTTTTAATATCTCTAACACGAGCCCCAGGGAGGCAGCAGACGTCCCTATGGTATGGGTCTGGTCGACATATGGGCCCCTCTGTACCCCTCAGAACAGTGTCACCCACTGCTATTACCCTCCTTTCCTTCTTACTTGAAGAAGTTGCAAGTTGTGGGCCTGAGGGAGTTCATAGTATTTTTTTTTCTGGATGCATTTACCAGCCAGTTTATTTTGTTGAAAAGTCAGGACAAAGTTTTTTATGAGACTATTACTTAAAACTATGGACTGATATTTCTGGAAAAGGTGGTTATAACTTATGTATGTAACATTCTGACTGATAGTTTCAATTGGACTACAAAGTTTTGTTCAATTAGTGTATTGTTCTTAGCTGTTTTTTTTTGTTACTGCTACAGAAAAGTAAATGAGAAATGTTATTTGGCTTGATTTCAGAATGCCTATACAAATATTAAGCTTACTCTTGTTACAGAACTATCTTCTGGGGAAGAAAGAAACCTCTGAGATGGCAGACAGAAATAAAGAGGTGCTGCTAGAGGTAAGACTGCCAAAACAAAAAGGGCATAGCGGTAATTTCAGATCTTGAAGCTAAACTCTGAAAGGTTGTGGTGATTGAAATTGATGGATGGCGCGGAATGTAATTCTGGAACACCTGTGAATGGAGTGTGTTACATTCGAGATAAATGGCTATCTTAATGTTACCGTGTTTCAGATAAGATCAGTTCCAAAAAATGTGTCTGCATTTTGCTTAATAACTAAAATACCATATACAGTGATAATCAAAGTGAGGTTACCTGTAACTATGGCTAAAACCAGTTGAAATGTGCAGAACTGTCACCCTTTTTTTTGACCTGTGGTGGTAGAGGTTTTTTGGGGTTTTTTTATTAGTACATTCCAAATTGTTATTCTCTACAAAAATCTATAGCAATGGTTCAGTGACTGGTCTATGTTAATATTTTTAATTTAGCAAGCAAAGTAGTTTAAAATTGTTTCAACTGCATCTTAAAATAAAAACCCCCAAATATTAATTTTTTTAAATGAATGACAGAAAAGAAAATCAATTAATATCAAACCCATTAAATAGTTTACAGAACTAAGGATAACCAAAAAAGTTTCCTCTTAATTTCCAGAATAATTATGATTTCAGTAGTTACACAAAAGTAAACGTTTAGTGTATCTAATTTTGGATTATTCTTAATGTGCTTTAATTTATAAGTACCATATGCATGCTCTTAGGATATTATTAATATGGGTTTTAATAAGTGGCCATGCGGATACTGTGGATCAAAAAGATGCTTGAGGCCATGACATGCAGAGCATTGTAATTCTATCTAATTCTCTCTTGTCTTCTAGGATTACTCTTAAATCTCTGTGCTGCATATTACTCTGGAGTGTTTTTAAAGCATTTGTTTTCCTCTGTTTAGCTCTTTATAATTAGAATTTGTAGTGTTGGCAGTTGGTAGCAACAAAGTACTTACGGAATGCATTACAGCTGTATCTGATGGATATGTAATTAGGTTTTGCGTATACTTAGATATATGAGGGTATATCTATAAGGTGACCTCGTGACTTTAAAGCCAGTAAAGCTGTTGGGGGATCTATTAGTGGTAAGCACTGGTTAGCAAATCTTTACATTAGCCACTGATATTTTTGTTGTCATTCTTGTGCTGAGAATATTATAAGAGCCCCTGTTGTGTTTGTCTGAATTATAATATAGCTTCTACAATTAATTTCTAATTCATATAACTGCGTGAAAAAGAGAGCTGTCTATGTGTGCATTCCTTAGATAAAGAATTTCAGAATTCCAGTCATTAAAAACAAACCACTTCATGCTGTATGTTCTGTGTGTTTCTCTCTTCCCAAACCACTGTGTTTATTGGCAGGAATGTTTCTGTGGAAGTTCTGTAACTGTGCCAGAAATTGAGGGAGTTTTGTGGCTGAAAGAGGATGGTAAGAAGTCTTGGAAGAAACGTTATTTTCTTCTTCGAGCTTCTGGAATCTACTATGTCCCTAAAGGAAAGGCAAAGGTATGATACTTTAAAGCAATTTCCCTGATTTGATTGCTGGTAAATTGTGCACACAAGAGTCAGCCTTAAATTCTGTCTTAGCTGTGCCTTGCCTAGTGCCCCATCTCTTAATTAAAAGTGCAAGTTTATCATGGAACTGTTGTATGAATTACTGTGGTAGCACTTGATGTGAAGGATGTAACCCCAAATATAAAAATACAAGCTACAAGGGTCTGCTCTTTGAGTGACCTTGGGGTTGGGTGTTCAGAAACACTTGAGGAAAACTGGTGAAGTTAAGAGACTGTCTTTTCTCAAGCAGAATTCAGTTGAAGGACCAAATTGCACTGCAAATGCCAGTCATAAAATATGAGACCAACTCCACAATCAGTCTGCATAATTTCATTTGTTTTAGTTCATATAAATGGGATTCTTTTCAGACCAATTTGTGCTCTGTTTTTGAAACTGGTGTATATATACTACTATTTCTTCAGTGTCACTTACTGCTGTTCTGTGTATATCAATAATGAAAAGTAAATCGAGAGCTGCTACAAATGAATTCTAGCTTTAAGGTTGAACTACGGAGTTCAAGTTGTCCGTGAATCCATCAGTCTTGACAGCATCAGCTGTTCCGCAGTACAGGAAGTCCACTTCCCACACAGCCGGCAATGAAGAGGAAATCTGTCAGAGCACACCACCTCCCTTTAGAGCTGAATGCATCTCAGATGTTCTTTCCACAGACTTTTGCTTAGTTAAAACAAGATATATGCAAGATAGCCTGTTGAAATTCTGTGCCCTACAGTCACTACCAAATGTAATTAGAATTTTACTCACAGTCACACTGGAATTTGGACACCTTGATTATTACCAAGATGAAATATATCCAGCAGCTGTTAAAAAGTTCCTGGTCAACCAGTCCTCTTTACTTTCTCCTGATACCAACTCTGAATAAACGTTAATAGTTCAGTGTGAAATGCAGACAAAACACAAAATCCCCTGAATTTGGAAAAGGATATCCCAGTTAAAAATTAACATCTGATGCAAGAGTTTATGCTTGGCTGTCTCTTCTTGTATTGGTTATTTTTGTATCAGATTAAACTAATATTTGACCTTAACTAGACCTTGTATTAGTATTGGCACGAGACTGTCTTTGTCAGTGCAAGCGGTTTTCTTATATACTTTGTAAATCATTATTTTTGTATTTAACAGGTCTCGCGGGATCTTGTGTGCTTTTTACAGCTTGATCATGTCAGTGTTTACTATGGACAGGATTATCGGAACAAATACAAAGCACCCACAGACTATTGTTTAGTGCTAAAGGTAACTTGTTCATTGTTTTGAAAATTCTCATACTGAAAAAAGCAATTAGAGGTTGAAAAATTTCCATGCTAATCTTAGTCCCTGATAATAACTACACTTCCTAATTGTGAACAAGATCTGATTCTTGGGAGAGATTATAATTTAGAATTCACTTCCTTTAGTAATATACCAATTGGAAGACTATACTTGTCAGTTTTCAGGATGAATCTCTATCTTCATTCTGCATGAGAAATCTAAATTGCCATAAGTTACAGTGACAATGAAAAAGCTATATTTTACTGCATTTTCTGTGGAGTTGTAATGAGCCTCCTTGACAGAAATATGGTTAAAAAAAAAAAAAAAAAGAGAGAGAGAAAATGCCATGCAGGGAGTAGTGCAGAGGGTAGAAATGGCTATGAATCACTTTCTTACCCATCAAACTGATAGATTTCCTTCACCTGCCAGAAGATTTGTGTGGATTATATATATGGTGGGGGAGGAAAAAAAAGTCACAGAACAGCAGAAGAATGGCTTTACTGGATTCATCTAGCACTCTGGGTTTGTCTGACAGTGACCTTTCTTTATAAACTTCTTAGGGTAAAATTAGATGTACAGTACAGTCTTGCAGAGATACTTTCACAGAGTACTTTTTTCAGCCTTTAGAAATCTAATTTAGGGACCAGTGAGTGGATCTTGGCTGTTTAATAGCCCTGGGTACATTCTTACTCTTGGAGTAAGCCCTGTCTCTTTTGGGATTCCAGGAAACTTTCAGAAGGCTGCAGTAGTTGAGTACACCTTGTATGCTCTTCTGCGTGTTCTGAACAATCAGTTGCTTTCCATTTCATTTTCCTCTAGTTCTTGTATAGGAAGTAAACAGTTAGTGAACAATTGCTCCCTGTTCTCCATGCTCCTCATGACTTTGTAAATGTTTTCCTATTTCCCTGAATTGTCTTACTTCCAGACTGATAAGTCTCTGTCTCTTTAATTGTTCCTCATACTCTAAAACATAACACTAAACTATTTTTTTTTCCATTTGTCAACCCTACCTTACAACAATTCCAGATCAGTGAGATTAATACCCCTTGAAACACTAACTTCAGGGAGTTGGTGTCTTCTCAGAGTGTAAGTCTAGAGTTGTGCAGAATTTGGTATTGGAGAGTCAAGTCTACCTAGATTGCCCAGCCTGAGGGAAAGGGGATGCTGTAAAGGAAGAAACTTCTGAGGATAAAGGACAGGTAGAAGGAAAAAGGTTATGAAAGCAGCAACCTGATTTTAAACTGTGAGATTAATAAATTGAGTACTTCAAGTTATTTTAAATTGCATCAACTCATCTCCCAGTCTCTCTTGACTCCCACACAGTGTTCAAAATGGTGTCAGTTCCTGCAAGATAGCTAGCTACAAAGCTATTTTAAAACAGGTTTTCACAGTATGTTCACAGCAAGTAAAGAGTCTTCATGAATTTGAAAATGCTGCAAGTAACAAAAGATGATTATAGTTGCACTTACAGTTTTCTTTTGACCTCTTACCTCCCCTGATCTGTAGCTCATGTGGTGTTGTGTGCATCAGTACATTAGAATGTTATACGTGCCTCGAGTGTGTGGCTGCCTGTCCTCTATGTGAAAAAAGGGTTTCATCTTCCAATAGATTGGGCAACATGCATTTGGGCTCGCTGAGAGGTAGACACTGAATATCAAATATGGGACACCATATTAAGGGAGAAAGAATACAGCTGAAACTGGAAATATTTTTCATGTTCCTAGAAGTCATTGTCGCAGGAATGCATTTAAAAGCAGAAATACCAGGGTTTGTGGATATTTATAAATTCCTTGAAATGAATTGCTTTCTTCTGCTTATGTGTCACTTTCTATCCATGTCACTTAGGTTAATAGCGTATTATTTTTTCAGATTTGGTGGTCACACTGAGTAAACAAGACTGAGTCTTATCTAAGGAGATTTTTTTTGAAAAGTATTGCCATTCTGAGCATAAATGAAGACATGAAAATGTTAAAATCAAATTTTAGTGTGTCTACTTGTCCATTTATTTAAGTAAATTAATGGGGTAGAGTTAGTCGGGTAACTTGGACAAAGTGAAGCTATGTTTTTAGTGTGGAACTGATGAATCACCAAATTACTATATTAAGCAGGATTGAGTTCTGCCTTCCTCAATTTTTAAAATGTTACATTGACGTTTTTTATTAGTACCAAGGTATAGAAGCCATAGAGTTGGTGGTTTTTAATAGAAATTCAGTTTTGTGCCACAAAGATTTGCTAAGATGGGAAATATCTCCAAAACATGAACATGTTTTTGGAGAGGTGAATGGCAAATACAAACTGAAAGGCCAATTCTCATTGAAGTCCAGAATGCATTTGTCTTTACATGTTTGCTTCTCTTGTTTATCTTGAACCTTACTGTGCAAGATTGAATAATGTGCTATTTTAAATATAACATTTGTATGTTCATATATAATATTAGCTCCTTGGTCGTAAATGTTACATTTGTGAGCGGTTCTTTTATTTCTAGCTAGCCAAATTTTTGAACAAGGATAAAGATGGCTTGTTAGTGAAGTAGTTGTTTGTGCTTCTATAGGCTTTGTTATACAACATTTACGAGAAAGAGGCTTGTAGTGAGAAATGAAAACAATTATTTAATATAATGAGGTTAGTTATATGTATTCTGTTTATGGAGATAAATGTGTTCATGTTAATTTTGAAATAATTATGTTTGGAAGACCACAGGAGAAAATATTCTGAAGAGATTGAAAGTTCTTTGATATATGTTTCAGACAGTCTTCAGTAAAAATTAAATACCTACGATCAGAGCAAAACTCTGTGTCACTGAACTGCAAGTTAACAGAGGAAATGATAAGAACTTGAATATTTAGACTTGCCCCGACAGCTGTGAGACATGTAACTTCTACAGCATGGACAGGAAAGAGCTGAATAACCCATCCAGAATGACTTCAAGTGTCTGATTTTTGAAACTGCAGCATTGATAAATACAGCGCCTTTTCTTTTTTATACATGCATGTGGGAGCAGCAGGTATTTTCGATGGTAGCCCGTATCAGTAGGGTGGGGACCATGAAGGCTTTACAAGCTGAAAATGGGATTGTGCTCAGCAGCATGTCATTTGTGGAGCATTTCACACAAGCCATACAAAAGCAGAGAAGACCAGTGTGTTTGTTTTCCTTCAGGGTTTTTTTTTTTTTGGTGTGAGAGAAAGGTGAAATATCAGTCGTCTCCTTCAGGTGGTGAGTTAGTCCATAGAACAGCGAAAGGAGAACTCTTTATGCTTTGGCAGTCTCTTGTTTGTGTTTAGGAAAGGTTTTTACAAGCTGACACTGTTCTGACCACTTGGCTTGACACTGTAAAGATTTCTAAAGAGCCTTACTGGTACACAAGACCATTGGGAGGTAGAAGGTTCAGCACTAAAATGCTGAAAGACTCACCCTTTCTTAGTGTTTCAAACCTGAAATCAGTGCACGCTGAACACACTGCCAATCTGTGTGTGAAACAATCCCCCTGCCACCAGCCTGAAATACTCTCAGACATTTTTAAGTGGGCTCAAATACGGACTACTGTGGAAGAGATTCCGGCATTATTTGTTTATATAGACCTCAACAGATAAATGGCTTTCTTTGCATTCCTAGCTATTGAAATATTGATGAGGATTAATAATTTTTCTGCAGCATCCTCAGATCCAGAAGAAATCACAGTATATCAAGTATCTTTGCTGTGATGATGTAAGAACTCTACACCAATGGATCAATGGCATCCGCATTGCTAAGGTAACCTCCTCGAGGCAGTCTGGCACTGCTGTCATGACCTTTTGTTGTTATCTGTTTGAAACCAGGTACTTAGCACAATACATGCTAAATCTAACTTCCCTCTTTTTAACTACTCCAAATGTGCACTGTACAATCTTCTCACATATTTCATTCCCTAGCAAAATCAGGCTTGGTTGTTATGATAATTCAGTAATTGGGCCCTTCTTGTTTCTGCTGCACCTCTTTCCCATTATGAAGTTCTAACTGACATCATGGCTAGATTTTAGCCAGCTCCCTTACAGATTTTACAAAGAAGGCTTATGGGAAAAGAGAATGAGAAAACAGAATTGTTTTCTAAGATCCCCAGGTTGGCTTAGTTTATTCATTGGCCCATTTCTTACTTGATGCTCTCTTCTAGCATAAATAAACTGTTTTTCTTTCAGCAGTTCACTAATAAACCCTTAATGTTGCCTGAGCTCCTTAACGAAGAGTCTGGTTTTAATTTGGGGGGGCGGGGAAGAGGTGGAATAGAGAAGGCAGAGGTGGAGCTCAACAGTCTGAAAAGGGAACACAGCCTATATACAGTTGTTACATTTGTTTGTCATTTTGTTTAGTATGGGAAGCAACTATACATGAACTATCAGGAAGCACTGAAGCGAACGGAGTCAGCGTATGACTGGACTTCCTTGTCTAGCTCCAGTATCAAGTCGGGCTCCAGCTCATCTAGTTTGCCAGGTAATAATGTGATGTGTCTCATAATAGAAAGATTTAATTACCTTTTTTATCATCCACTATCTGGAGACCTCAGGAGAGGCTAATTGCAGGGAACAGACTATTTCTCCAAAGTCTTTTATGCTGTGTTTAGTCTAAAACATAGACTTTGTTTAACATATATTAAAAAGTATAAACATACATGAAAAATTATAAAAATACAATTATTATATTACTTGGAGTGGTATATGTATTTGGAACATACAGTACTTTTTTGTTCTCTCCAAAAAAGAATGTTTTTCTGATACTGAGAAGAGGAAACTTCCTTTCAGATTCCTGCTGCCTCTATGTTCACCTCCTTGAAAAAAGTAATCAAATGTATGTTTTAACGATGCATAGAGTGTGTGTAGCTGTTAAACTGCTTTTGTTGACTGAAATATTTGAAATTGGAAAATGAGAACTAGTCCCTGACCAAAGGCAAAGATTCAAACAATCTCTTCAGAGACAAACTTTGAAAATACTGTTTCTGTTCTTGTGTCAAACTGCGTGTGCCTCCAGTCATATGCTCCCGTTTACCTCTCAGCAGGACCGTGACTGGGTTTCTGTAGTACATAACAGTTTAAAAATTGAAGAATGGTTTATATAGTCTCATTTCACTGTTCAGAACTGACACAGGTTGCCAGGTTATTCTGAACCCTCAGGGGCAAGTTTCATTATTGAAAACAGGCTTGTGTGCAAGTGTGTCGTCCTTCATAGATACAGGTCAGGACGGTAATGCTACTGAATTGGAAAGGTTCAGAAAGTAGCCTGTGAGAATGAGTTAAGCAAATTCAGCCTAACTGGGGAGGCAGCATGTTTTTTTCAACTGTGTGGCACAGCTTGCCAGGTGTAGTGGTAAATTCTCGGTTACTGACAATTTCTCTATCAAAGCTGGGTGTTTTTCTGATAAAGTTTCTCGTGGGGAGCTGAGCCACAGCCCACCAGCGGTGTATGTTCTGCCAGAGCTGCAGTCCAGCCTGTGCCTAGATGCTCTTTTTCCCCAGGACAGCTTGGGACTACACAGGAAGCAGGTGCCAGGCTGGATGAATTGGTCTGGCAGTGACTGCTGCTGTCTTTTGAAGATACCCTGTGGACCCAGAGGAATCATCTGTGTTTGCTAGTTGCAGGATGTACATCATTCCTTCTCCTCCCTTGAGGAATGGAGCAGTCAGAAGCAGACTACTACCTTGGCTAGCGTAGTTTGCCTGTCCTCAGCCGATGTCCAGTGTCTGTTTCCAAGCTTGTGCTGGAAAGGAGAGCAGACTGCATGTGTTGCATGGAACGGGGCTTTTCCCAAAGTGCTGGAGCTGTTGGGTGTTTCAGAACCTATACAACTGCAGTGTTTTCACTTTGCAGCATGTCTGACACGCTGTTATCTTTGGGAAGCTTCAGATTTGATTAATACCAGGGATCTGTTGCACTGTTTTGTTTTTCGGACAGCAATGGCCTGGATGTGAGCTGGAGCTCATGCGGTAGTTAGTGGGAACAATGTCCTTTGGTGGGATAACGTGTTTAACAAGTGTGACCAATAAATGTCATGCAGATTTGCATTATAAGCACACCAACTTTACTCCTACGTTCAGAAACATGTTAACTGTTTCTTCACTTTCTTCTAAACAGAATCTCAATCAAATCATTCTAATCAGTCTGACAGTGGAGTTTCTGACACCCAGCCAGCTGGACATGTCCGTTCCCAAAGTATTGTCAGCTCCATGTTCTCTGAGGCCTGGAAACGGGGCACTCAACTGGAGGAATCCAGCAAGGTAACAAGAAGACTTTAGTTTGAGAGCCAACACCCAACAAAATGTACGAGACAGAGTGATGCCTCTTCCACCTCTGTCTTGTGTGGGATTTCTTCTCTTTTTTACTCTTATGTTACTGACATATGCTGCCATATAATTGGTTTTTCAGGGAATTCATCCCTGGAGCCTTCTGTTCTTGCTTTTACTTTTGTGCACAGAAGCCCTCTGTTCTTTGAAGCCATAATACAGCCCTTCACATAGAATCCTATTAACTAATGTTGAATAAAGACAAAATAAAAAGATTGGCTGTTAACAAGTTGAATGAAATTATTTCACTAAGATCTTTCTCCAGTTAACTAGCCACATCTTTCCATTGTAAAGATGTGAATAACTGAGTCTTGAAGGCAGGTGTATCCATTTAAGAAGTACTCCAGTAGTTTTTGCTCTAATGTTTTCTATTGGCTGGAAATGGAAACAGTAACCACATATATGGTCAAAGCAAAAGTACTAAAATTGACAGCAGTTGTGGACTGAGGCAGATCTGATATCTCCTGTTGCTAATAGAGACTTACAGAAGATTTTAACCCATTGAAGCCTGGAGCTCAGGTCTGTTGTGGTTTGGTTAGCTTTCTGTCTTTTCTGTGGTAGTTGACTGGGCATACATCTTGGGGAATACTTCCAAACACAGCAGAATTGCCACTTAAGCTGTTTTTTTGTCAGGCTCAAAGGAATCTTCAGGTTCCTGAACAGCCATGACATCAGTATTAACTGCAGCAGTTGTGTGGAAGTACATTGGCAGCATGCTATGAGAAGCCATCTTCACTCCTGTCAATTTTGAATCTTTCCTGGAACCCAGGTTCAATCTAGAGAAAGCAAGCTTTTTAAAACTAAAACTACAGGTCACTACACATGACATGAGTGCATCAGATAACAGAAAATAAGACACAACATCACATTTTCAAATAATAAAACACATGTGGCACAATGTGAAAACTGACATGGCCACATTCTTTGGGATTCATAACTTTTCTGCAGTGCCTGCTGGATTGGAAGTTACCTGATTCTTACAGTAATGTAGAATGCAGCTTGCTAAATTGTGATCCAGATTTTTTTACTGCATGAGTACAACAGCTGGTGCATGTTCATCAGCAGATGGCTTGTGTATGTGTACAGGGTGCATCATTTCTGCAGGAGCAGAGTAGATGCAAAAGGGCACTTGAGTGTATCTGACAGGTGAAAGAGTACTGCTATGAGAACTGTAATGTTGTTTCCTAAAGTTTTGGTTTCAGCGTGAAAATATTGCTACTGCACTCTCTCTGAGATTTTTAGAGAAAAGTTTGAAATTTACCACAGTTGGATGAGGGGTGTTCTAAGTCAATAGTGCCTTTAGCAATTCCTCATTTAAATAAATCCCAATAATTTGTATGTTATCTGATTAAAGCCATTTTGAAAACATAATATTGACTGGTCCCTGTTGAGGGCCATCTGTGTTTCAAGATTTCATCAATTTGAATTTGTTTCTGTGCAGAAATTGAAGAAAAGGTACATTTCTCTTCCTCATGTAACACAGGTGAATGGATTGCCCTGAAACTTCCAAAGAATCCAAATGAAATGAACTCTGTAAAATTATAATTTGAAGCCATATTAAAAAATTCAGAGTAAATTGATGACAAATTTACCTTCAGTGAAACTACAGTACATGGGGTTTTTTATCCTGTACAGGTCTAGACTAAGGAACTTTAATAAATCAGACTGGCAGAGGAAAATGTTAAACTATGTGGCAAGAAAGCAAACAACAGTGTTGAAAAAATTGTAATTGACACGAAAAGGTAGTTGCAGTGATGCTGAGACTTGCTGGTTTAGGCAGTCTCCAAACAGTTCAGAGGTGGTAGTTATTCCACAGTACTTTGGTGACAAAGTTGGCTTAAGACGTTCATACAAAGCAGGTTGCTGAAAGTGGCAGAATTAATGGAGACTTGTTCAGCATGTACCTTCCTCTTCTGCGACAGCTCTCCCCCCCTTGTCACCCTTGTCTCATGTGCCTCAGCAAGCAGGGCAGAGCAGAGCATGCTTTGGCTCAGCAGGGAGATGACACTGAAGCTCACCAGCCAGCCAGGATGTTGTACTGGTTGGCCAGTGGCTAACTGCTCAACAAGTTAAAAATGGGTGAGTTCTGCCTGCTTTTTCCCTCATTTACCAGGTGCTAGTAACTTCACAGTTTCTTGAAGTTGAAAATATACTGGGATTTCTAGTGGTCTGTCATATTTGACTGAAATTTGCCAACTAATCCAAAAGCAACTGGCATAGGAAAAGAGATGGCAAACAGTTCAACTGCAAAAGCTTGTTTCCTTAGGAAAAACAACTAACAAAAAAAAGCACAGTTGTTATTTAAAACAAATAGGTACTATTCTTTTTATAGCATTTCTGAGAGTTCCAGATAGTCATGAAGATGCATGCTACAAATATAAATTGCTAGTATGCAATAAGAAACTTTTCAAGATATACAGAAAGTCATCATCTAGTTATAGGGATGAACGAGGACAACGATCTGTCTCAAAGTTCTTCTGTAAACAGAGTATCACTGAATGTGTTTCTAGTTATGGAAATTTGATTCTGTGGAGATGGGAGGGGCTCCCCCTACTGAGATGCACAGTATTCTTTTCCCTGTCCGGAGTGTTAAATTTGCTCACTGTGAAAGCTGCTGTCTTCAATGATTATGAGGAAAATTCCTTTCTGTTTCAAATATAATCTAAGAATAAAAACCCGACTTTTCCCAAAATGCAGGTAATCTGTCCATTTCATATTTTGAAAGACTGCTGCTTGCCCAAAGAATGCTTTTATTCATCTGTTCGCATTATTCACAGTTGTGTAGTGAAGATCTCATTATGTCTCATTTTGCTGTCAGGTTTTGAACACGTTATTTCAAATGGGATGCTACAGCAGGCATCACAACGCTTGCTTACTATGTGTGCTTTAAGTGACAAATTCAAGATTTCCGGAGTCTTGCCATTCAGGAGTAGCTGTTCTGTTATGCCTTGGTCTCCCTCTCTCTCTGTTTTATGCCGCTTTTATTTTTCCTATTGCCTTTTGCTGTCTCAGGTGTCAAAAGTGAAGCTCAGCACAGCTAAGGTCAGCACACCCGTGGTGCCTTATACAGGGCACAGTTAAGGTCAGGTGGTGCTACTTGAAAATTCATTAACCTGGTGATGGGGAGAATGGTAATTTGCAGACTAACACTTGCAAGAGATCAAGATTTCTCTCCTGTTTTGTTATGTGAACACCTTGATTTAGCTTCAGAACTGTTAAAACTCTTGCCTTCCAGACCTAATGTGACAGGTAGAGGCACACCCCATGTGTGTTGTAAATCACTGTTTGTTGTTTCTGACTCTAATCCTTTTGGTGGTGTTCTGCAAATATAGATACTCTGTGCACCTGCGTTTAGAACAAAGCAATATGCAAACCTGCAAATGAGCATCATTGGGCTAACTTGTGGCAAAGTACCTACTAATGAAGTATAGGTGCTCAGTGCAGGTAGTTGCCGTGTTGGTGTGTAATGCATGTTTCCACGCTGTGCGCTGTGAAATGCACCACTTTGGCTTGTAGCCAAACCACTTTGTAGTAGGAGGATGTTTATAAACTTGAGTAATACAATTATCTTTTAAATTCTTAACAGGAATTTAGGCTTACAGTTTGAACTGAACAGAACCCAAGGAGTAGACTAAAACATTGCCTGCTGCTTTCCCATTGCTCCTTCCCTTAGTCAGCTTTTCCCTGTCTTTCCTTCCTTTTTCTGCTTAACATAATAGCTGCATGTAGAGCTACTTTTTCTCGAGCTAACTTTCTTTTGAAGAGCTCTAAACATTTCCTTCAGGGGAAATTTTCCTAGGAAACTTCAGTTCTCCTGCTTTATTCCTCATGTTTTTTTCTCGCCAGTCTTGGATATCAGAGCATGTGGAGTGGAAGAAACTCAGTAGTATTCCTGCGTAGAGCTTGCTCTATACATGTTTTAAAGTGGTTCGAGATTTCTGCATTTTGTAACACTAGTGTAAGGCCTTGAGCTAACCAGCTTTAAAGGCTTGACAGATGCTCTGGGAGGCCATTTATGGTTTAACTCTAGTCTTACTGAGCAGAGATGTCTGCAGAGTCTGTCACGGCCTGTGGCGCTCTGGGGAGTGCTCTGTTCGGGTCATCGTGCCCCAGAGGAGGACCAGTGGTTCTCGCTGGGTACAGCTGCCTGCCTCACAGAAGTGGCAAGGCCAGTCTGTTTTCTCCCTGACATTCAGCCTGGCTCGGAGTAGACCTGGCTCTGCTGGTTGTTGCCAGTTCTCCCTGCCTGCCTGCCCAGTCAGACTGCATGGTCCAGGCTTGCCAGTGTATGGAATTGTCTCTTGCTACCATTGTTTTGCTAATACTTCCTGCATGCTGTAATCCACTACTGAATTTTTAATGACGGGCACATTTAGACCTTGACTTTATAATCTCTTTGTCTCCCTCCCTCTCTCCCTCCCTCCCTCCCTCCCTCTCTATCTTTTTCTTTTTCTCCCTTTCCACTTCCACTAAAAATCCCTTCCCCGTAGGCCCGAATGGAGCCTGCAGGTCGGCCCTTCTTGTCTGTCGCACCTCCTGTGTCCCCACAGACAAAAGTGGCGACCCCCTATACAGCATCACAGCCGTCCCC